ACAAAGGAAGGAAGGAAAGAGAAAGGACATTCTAGGGAAGCATAAAAGCATCCATTGAGTGTGCATCTCTAGAGTACACATCCCACATCCCAAGAGTATGCATCCCAGGAGTATGCATCCCAGGAGTAGGCATCTCAGGAGTATGCATCTCAGGAGTATGCATCCCAGGAGTATGCATCGCATCTCAGGAGTATGCATCGCATCCCAGGAGTATGCATCCCAGGAGTATGCATCTCAGGAGTATGCATCGCATCTCAGGAGTATGCATCCCAGGAGTATGCATCTCAGGAGTATGCATCTCAGGAGTATGCATCTCAGGAGTATGCATCTCAGGAATATGCATCCCAGGAGTATGCATCTCAGGAGTATGCATCGCATCTCAGGAGTATGCATCCCAGGAGTATGCATCTCAGGAATATGCATCCCAGGAGTATGCATCCCAGGAGTATGCATCGCATCTCAGGAGTATGCATCCCAGGAGTATGCATCGCATCTCAGGAGTATGCATCCCAGGAGTATGCATCGCATCCCAGGAGTATGCATCTCAGGAGTATGCATCTCAGGAGTATGCATCTCAGGAGTATGCATCGCATCTCAGGAGTATGCATCTCAGGAGTATGCATCCCAGGAGTATGCATCTCAGGAGTATGCATCGCATCTCAGGAGTATGCATCTCAGGAGTATGCATCTCAGGAGTATGCATCTCAGGAGTATGCATCCCAGGAGTATGCATCGCATCCCAGGAGTATGCATCCCAGGAGTACCGCTAGCATTAACAGGCTAGCACCGGCCCAGCAGTTAGGTTCCACTGAACTTCCCAGCAACCTTGTAAACACTGTCAACAACTCCAGGGTCAGGGGTCACGGTACATATTTACCCTTCCATACTGACTGAGGGCAAGTTGGTAAGGGCACCCTCCATCCAGTGGGCCCTGAATCTCCAGATCCGTGGAGATCTTTTTTGCCCTTTGTTTTCACTAGGAGTGAGAGATGATGTCAGGATGTCTCTCATGCTAGGGATTCAATGGGCAGGCACATAATGTCTTACACACAGGTAATAGAGAGATAGTGCTTTACTTTTTCAGTGTTTTTAGGGGCATAGAGGTCCCTTATTATTCAAAAGACTTTGGTAAGTAGGGAAGCAACCATCTAGAATAATACACAACTTTGCCCTCCCCCCCCCCCAAAAAAAGCCACATGGCTGCCACCTAGGGAAGAGTTAACTTTCTGGCCACTGGAGACTGCGTCCTGCGCGCAGGGCCTGCCCAGCCAATGGTACTCAGTGTTGATGATGTCATGCTCCTCCTGCGCCTTCTATTGGGGACTGGACAGCGAATCCTACTGGAGGTTCAGGCAACTGAGCTGCAGAGCCGGTTGCTGGCAGGGAAGGGGGGGGGGCAACAACAGAGCAAATCAACCCAGACCGGCGCCTGCCGCCTCCCTCAGCTCCCTGTCCCTTCTACAGAAGGTCCTCCTGGGGACCGCCGCAGAAGCAAAGCAGCACAGCATGGGTCCAGAAGAGAGGGCAAGGCCTCCCTCTCCCACCTAACCTGCCCACCACACAAGGAGTGACAATGGCAAGGACCCACACACACACAGACACACAGACATGCACACACAGGCACACACACAGACACGCATGCACACACACACAGACACACAGGCGCGCACACACAGACACACACGCACACACACACAGACACAGACACACACGCACACACACACAGACACACACGCACACACACGCATGCACACACAGACACAGACACACACGCACACACAGACACAGACACACACGCGCACACACACAGACACACACGCACACGCGTTTCCTTGATGCCACCCTCCCTGCCCCTGACTCTCCTTCACCTGCCCGAGGACTGAAGGTCTGTGTCGGAGCTGCTGCCCACAAGTGCCCCATCCACTCTGCTGGGCTCTCTGGAAGGGAAGAGCAGGGAAAAGAACTGTAGGCTGTGCTCGGCTCCCGTAGCACCCTCTCTTTACAGCCTAACAGGCTGGTGGCTCCAACCCTGCACCACCGGCTCTGAGAGAGACCCTTGCAGGGTGTCCTCCAAATCCCCCCTCCCCGACCAGCTAGAGCCCCAGGCAGCCACTGCTCACCCTTGGCTTATCCGTAGCCCTCCCTGGAAGATCCCCCCCACCCGCAACCCCGATGCCCAGCCCCGCCAGTCTCTCACGGTTCGACCCGGTTGCCAAATCTGCGGCGCCACAGCATGGCCAAGCTGAGCAGGAAGAGGGTGGTGCACATAGCTCAGCTGCCCCATCCCCCCTGAAGACCAACTCTGCGGAAGAAGGCCACAGGTGAGGGGCCACAATGGCCAGGGCCACAATGGCCAAGGCCACCTCTCTCGAGCCACTGGGCTGTTTCCTGAAGTTCCTGGGGGCGGATTAGGAGGTTCAAGCTGATTATAGCGGAGTCAGCAGCACTGACCTTGTAAGGAGAGATTAAACTCACCAGGCCCAAGATCTCCCCTCTAGTGGCAGAGTAAGCCAGCCTCCTCCAAGACCTGCAAGGTGGCTCTGAGCGCCTATCCAGAAGGTTCTACCCAGAGCATCCACTACTGCCTGGGCTCCGGCCTCAAGGGCAGGTAGTGCAATCAAGTGAGTTACTTCCACACAGTGCTGAAGGCACCTGCAGAGCTGGGGGGGGGGGACTGTAAGCATCCAAGACAGCTTCAAAGAGGATCTGGGGCCTGGCAGAGTGACAAGGACCTGTAAGCCACTGCGGAAGGGGCAGGGTCTCAAGTTCAAAGCCCAGCTGAGCTATACAGACAGTAGCCAGCCTGGGAAACCTAATGACAGTGTCTCAAAGAGGCTCCGTGGTAGGGTGCTCACCTGGCATTCCAGGGCCCGAGTTCAATCCCCAGTACTGGAGAGAAGGAGAGTGAGCGAGCCCGGGGGGTACTGGAGAAGGCTGCACCCTCAGCCAGCTCTGCCTGGCTGCTGGCATGAAAACATGCAGGACTCTTCAGTGACCCAGGCTGTGAGTGAGGCAGAGCAGAGAAGGGAAGAGGAGTGGGTGGCGATGCCAGGAAGACCAGGGGGAGCAGAGCATGCCTGCGAGCCTGGCTCCCCCTCCCCTCCCCCAGCCCATTTTTCTCATTTGCTCTCCCTTTCCAGTAAAAGGCAGAGTTGAGGTGTGCACTCACAGATGTGAACGGTGAATTCTGTCTTATATAACTACCTTATATAATTTAGATATAAATCAGAAGCTTATCAATTATGTGCCGGAGGAGAAGATGAAAACCAATAGAAATATCCTTCGCACACCCCACCTGACCTCCTAGGCAGCTGCTTGAGTCTGCAGGAGTCAGCCAGGCAGGGCTGGGACCTGAACCTACACTGTCCCCCATCCCCTCTAAGACCTTCGGTCAGTTTTCCATCCCTAACTAAGATGGGAGGTGAGGCCTCCTGCCCAGGAGTCCCGTCACACACCCCAACACTGAGCTTCAGGGGGGCCCTGCTGAACTTGCAAAGGTTCTTGGGTTCTTGTGACTTCCATGACTGAACCTTAATGTCTGATTTTATTTTCTAGATTTTTACATTTTTGTTATTATGTGCGTGTGTGTGTGTGTGTGTGTGTGTGTGTGTGTGTGTGTGTGTGTGTTCCTGTGAGACAGACATAGAGAGACAGAGAGAGAGGAGGTCAGAGGACAAGTTGTAAGAGTCCTTTCCTTCCCCCATGCAGGTCCCAGGGATGGGACTCAGATCATCAAGGCTTTGGAAGTGAGTGAGCACCTTTAAAGCCTTTATATCAACGGGAGGCAAAGTTGAAGAAGAGAGCCACCTCCTGGGCGACAGGACTCCCCACCTCACTCCTGAACACCTCCCTCTCTGTGTCAGGACAGCCAGGCCCTTGTGGTCTCAGAGTTCCTGCTGTCTATGCCCAGGCCTGAACAACTTCTGGCAGGATGAAATTCCCGGGGCCCTCTGCCCCAATGTCACCCTCTCTGTGAGCAGTCTACCATGAAGGATTTGCCTTCTGGTGCTCAGACTGAATCGTTGACGGTGACAGATGTCTCCACTGTCCTATGCCTTATGACTTCTGGCTCCCCAGATCTGATGCCACTGCCTCTTTATGGAACTTCACCAAGGCCAGGGCCACAGTTCAGGACGGACCGTGTCTGGTTCTTACCTGCCTGTCGTTAATGGGCACTCGGGACTTCCTTCCTGCTTGCCGATATGGGTGGCATTGGTGGAGAGGAAAGGGGGGCGCTGGTCTTTGTTTCCCCAGCCTGGACATGTGTTCAACTTCAGAGAGTCAGCAGGACCGGCAGATGGGAAGGAAGACTACCCATAGCCCTAAACCTGCCAGAACTTGGGGTCCTCAGGTCTGAGAATAGTGCCTGGGACCCAGTCTCAGGCTCAGGAGCAGTGAGGCTACAGCGGAAGGCCAGCTTTGTCTCCCGTTCGTGTCCTCTCCAGCAGGAGGCAATGCCTGGGTGTGTTTGACTTTGAGTCGGTTCCCCACCGAGTGAAGGGTAAGCACACGCGCAGGTCCAGACACCGCGCACCGAGAGCCGGGTCCTTGCGCCCCCAGCCCCGCACTAGCCCGGGGGACGCACTCCGGAGCAGCTCGCGCTGCCCCGTGCCGCGTGACCCCCTGGTCCTCCCAGCCCCTTCTGCACACTGGCCACACCTACCTCTCCCAGCGAGGACCGCGTTGGCCTTGCTGGCGGGTGGGTAGGCAGGCGGGCAGACGCCAGCCCGCGACGCCCCCATCCCGAGCCCAGCCTTCTTCACCTTGCCAGAACTGGTTCCCCAACACAGGACTGGAGATTTGGAACCGAGTCATTTTTTAAAACATCTTTCTTCCCAGCAGACCACATCCCCGCCCCCAGCTCGCAGTCCCCCGCCCTCCGCACATACACCCTGCACACACGCGCGCGCGCGCAGACACACACACACACACACACACACACACACACCCGACGCGCACAGACACACACGCTCGCTCCCTCCCTCCGGCGCTCTACTCCGCGCCCTCCCGCCAGCCCGCCTCGCACGCACCGGCCTCGGCTCGGGCTCCCCGCTCCCGCCGCCTAGCGAAGCCGCGCTGGGCTCCGAGCTGCCGCTCATGGAGAAAGTGCCCGGCGACATGGAGAGAGAGCGCAGGGAGCGGAGCGAGGAGCTGTCCGAGGCGGAGAGGAAGGCGGTGCAGGCTACGTGGGCCCGGCTGTATGCCAACTGCGAGGACGTGGGGGTGGCCATCCTGGTGAGGTAGGTGTCGCTCCCGGCTTGGCGGGGCCCAGGACAGGGAGGGTGACAGCGGCCACTGGCAGAGGCGGGCTCGGCCCGCTGCTGCGAGCTCCGGAGCCACCTCCCCAGCGACTGGGGACGGGTCATGGTGCTGCCGGTGCCTTGGGGCGATGGAAACCTTAGCCGATTCCTTCCTGACTTGGGGCCTGGGGCTCACAAGGAGCTACACGCGGGAGGACACTTGGCCCCCCTGGCCTTGGAACTCACCCATCTCAGTCCGGCTTCCTCATGAGTGACCCTAGTGACCCAACTAAGATGTACGGCTCTGGCATCTGACCAGCCCCTCAAAGGGAATGGTAGGGGCTCCTCATTTTATAGCGGGCAGGGAAACTGAGGTTCAGGAAAGGGTTTCAAGAGGAAACCCCGTGTCCAGCTCGGCCCTGTGGGAGAGTACAGTATGCACAGAGCAGGGGCTAGAGGTCAAGAGACCCGGCTGCCCAGTTGCCCTGCTTGGGCCCCAAAAGTGAGGCCAGTGCAAGCTGCAGGTGAGACCGTGAGTGAAGCCACTGAGCTTCTAGGATGCAATCCTGCTGGAGTTTGTTAGGGCTTTCCTTTTTTTAGGGGGGACAGATTTCAGGAGACAGAGCTCCACTCCGGACCCTGTATCCAGGTAGTAGTGTCTGTCCCCAGTATGTCTGAGGACCCCCACCCTAAGTGATGCTGCATTTACACACCTGCACACTTGTGCAGCCCCACAAGCCAGAGGCTGACTCTACCTACAAACCATATCTATAGACTCTGCCCACACATGCTCGACCCAGGGGCACACACAGCAGCGGCACCACATTCACTCACCCAGGGCCCCCATTCTTGGCAGGGGGAGACTGTCAAATCACCAGAAGAGCAGAGCAGCTGCTACAGTTGTATCCAGCTGTGAAGATAGGGAGACTCCTGGGGAGGTCAGACAGCTGTTGTGCGGATCGGCTCTCCAGCCCTGGCCCCTTCTCTGGCTCTTTCTCTCGCCTTCTGCCTCTGCCTCCTGCAGAACTTGTCGGTATGCCTGGATTCCAACTCAGAAGTAGATTGCGGGAGGAAAAGAGCAGAAGTATTCTCGATGAGTCGGGGAGGGTCTCCGAGGGAGTGGAAGGGGCGACTATTTCAGAGTTCTCACGCCCAGGAGCACTGCCGATTCCTGGGTGGCGGGAACCAGGGAAGGCCACTGGGGTCCTGAAGCTGCAGACAGATTGGCAGCGTGGGCGCCCACACACAAGTACACAGTGGGGAGTGGCGCCTCAGACGAGCCAGTCTGCAGCCCCAGAGGAGAGCCAGTCTCTCAGCCCACAACGTAGAGAGCACCAAGGGACAAGACAAGGCCCGTAGGACCTGGAGATGCTCTGTGCAGGCCTTGCTATCATCAGTGAGTTGCTCCCCCAGGGATAGGGGAAGAGGAACAGAAGAAGGGCAGAGTCTAAGAGGAGGACTCACTCTGTACCCTGGGAGCCTTCTTTATTACATCCCCTGACACCCAGGGACCGGTCCGGATTGCCGTGCTTCCCAACACCTCACTTCACCTAACTCCATGCCTGTATTGATCCAAGCCAGCCTGGGCCAGCACTGTATCAGCCATCATCCCCTGTGGCTCCAGACGCTACCGACTCTCCTGTGGCTGTCTGCCCTAGGACTGGACAACACCCTTAGTGTCTCATAGCATCACGGGCCCATCTGTAGGTCCTGGTCACAAACTCATGTTTTGACAAACCCAACATATTCATCCACAGGACCAGGCACCCTGATCACCCCACCCCGATGCCTGCCCTGCCTGCACGGCAGGGGGCAAGGGGGAGGCTGGCCACCAGCAGGAGTTCTGGCAGATATCTGGTAAAAGAGGAGGAACCAGCTGCCTTAGGGTCTGAGGCAGACCCTGTCCCTGTCAGAGAGGAGCCTGAGAAGGGAACACCGCCCTCCCCACTGGTTGTAACGCTGGTACCTTCCCCCTCACGCGCAGAGGAGCCTATTTCAGGCTCTTGGAAGCCCAGATGCCTCTGGGAGCTGAGAAACTCCCCAAGACTAGCTGCTGAGGTTTCTCCCTGGCAGCTCAAGCCAGCCAGGGAGGGGTGGGAGGAAACACAGGCTGGAGGGGAAGCCAGGGTGACTCAAGGCCCCTGCTTCCTGGGAAGGGTCCTCCCTCAGGGCCACACACACACACACACACACACACAGGGTGCTGCCGTGTTGAGGCAAGAGGCTCACATGTGCTCAGGACCCGTCCGGCTAGTAGCGCTGAAGTCTGGTCCATTCCTTAGCTACCTCTTAGGCAGTTCCCTATCTGTAAGATGGGGAGTAAAGCAGTCCTCTGATAATGAATGCTCAATGAGTGTTCCCTGGGCTGTCCTCCTCGGGGAAAGCAAGCAATAGTTTCTAGGCTGTGGCAACTAGATACTGTAAGAGATGACTTGCAAATGGTAACATACTATATCACCTCCCCCCCACACACACACTGTTTTTTGTTTGGGTTCCTCTCCCCGCCCCCCCCGCAAATGTGAAAAACAAAAATGGCTGAGATGGGTGTGCATTATTTTGTGTAGGGGTGGGTACATGTTAGTACACATTAATATGTCATGGCGAGCATGTGGAAATCACATTACAGCTGTCCGGAGTCGGTTCTCTCCGTCCGCTTGTTGAGGGAGTTGTCTCTTGTTTCTGCCACTATGCTGTGTCCTAGGGACCCTGTCTCGCCGCCTAGGAGTGCTGGGGTTACTGCACTGAGGTGTCTGTCTTTCCTCCTGTGTCCGTCATTACAAAGCTTCCAGAGGAGTCCTGTGCGTTTCCGGGGCCCACTACCACCTTGTTCCATACCCACTCACCTCTGAAGAAGCCAGCTTCGAAGCTTTTCTCGACAGACAGGAAGGGGGTCATAAAGTGTCTGTCCAAGGTCCCACTCAGCATCCAAGCAGGTCCCTGTCCTTCTCCACATGGATGGTGCCCTGGCCACCCAGTCAGAACCTTCCTGCCAAGAGCAGCTCCCGTCCCTGGAAGGCTGGGCCAGCCAGATGTTCTGTGTCTCTCTCCCTCACACCAGACTCTCAGGCCTGAGCCACAAGCTGTGAGCTTCCTCTGATGCCTCAGAGGGACAGCCAGAGGGTGATGACACCCAAGGACACCCAGGTCGGAGTATCTTACACGCTTTCCGAGGAACCATTAAATGAAGTCGTTTCTCATCAGGTCCCAGCTAGGGGGCCCATAGGCCGGGGTAATGGGTCAAAGCAATTGTGAGGCTCTGCCTCCGCTGATGGTTGGGGTTTGGTCCAACAGACTGAAAGGGCACCAATGGCCATGTTGGGAAGGCCACACTGGGGGCCAGAGAGGGGCAGGTCTAACATGGGGACATAGGGGATGTGTCAGGTAACGCACTTCACAGGGAGGAAGGCTGGGCAGTGGTAAGTGCAGCTGTTGGACTGGGACAGAGGACTCTGGGCAGAAGCTATGGAAACATGACGGTAGGGGCAGGTTCACAAGAACCCTGGGGCATCTGAAATGGGTGTCAAACTAGGAGGCCACGGGTGAACGTTTTACGTAGGAGAATGACATAACGAAAGAAACAAATGTAGATAAACGAGAGAAGAAAATGGCCAATGCTAGGACAGTCCAAATTCAGCTTCTAGGGGATTTTTCTGGGGGTGAGGTGGTCCATGTCTCCGATCCCATCATTTGAGAGACAGAGGATGTCCATGAGTTCAAGACCTCACAGTTATTTGCAAACCATACCACAAAGGCAAAATCGGTTAAGTTAGATCGACCAATCAACGTTTGCCGCATCAAGGAGGGAGAGGCTGCGGTGGGAGAGAAGGGTATCTCTCATCAACTCTTCACTGAGTGAGCACAGATGGGCCTCACTTCGTTCACAAGGAAGGCTCTCGCTAAGGACGCTGTCTTAACTGAGCCCTGTATGCGGTGGACACCTTGCTCATGAAAAGCCTCTCCCTTTAATACTCACAGTCCCCACGGTGTGGGAATGCCAATGTCCGTTTTAGGGATAAGGCATCCGAGGTTTAGACAAGATCAATCATGGGCACTCGCCTAGGAAGCAGCAGGCCCTGGATCCAATCCCCAGCACTGAGAGAAAACTTAACTAAGATACTAAACGGGGGCATTGTGCATGTCTGTAATCCCAGCACTCAGGAGGCAGGACAGTAGGAATGTGTGAGTTTCAAAGCCAGACTGACCTACACAGATCCAGGCCAACCAGGGATGCGTGGCAAGTCCTTGTCTCAAAAAAAAAAAAAAAAAAAGAGAGAGAGTAAGACATAGTAAAGGAGGGTAAGTGGCTCACACTTGAGAGGCTGAGGCAAGATTGCTTGAGCCCAGGAGTTCAGCATCACCATGGGCAGCATAATGAATCTTCAATAAAACCCAAAACAATTGCTGGGCAGTGGTGGCGCACGCCTTTAATCCCAGCACTCGGGAGGCAGAGGCAGGCGGATCTCTTCAGTTCGAGGCCAGCCTGGTCTACAGAGTGAGTTTCAGGACAGCCAGGGTGACACAAAGAAACCCTGTATGGAAAAATAAAAAACCAACCTAAAACAATTGTTCCACGATTCCAGAACCTCTCTCTCTCTGGGTGACCAGAGCAGGCCTCAGTGGGGTGTAGGTTCAGACAGCACTCCATAAGCAAGGCAGACGGTGGCCTGGCACAAGAGGCTGCCAGCCTCAACAGGTCCAGCAGGTGGTTCTCGCAGGGCCTGGCCAGAGGGAGAGCCTGGGACTGAAGGACAGCTCTGTATGAGAGAGAAAACCATTCCCAGCATGCATGCATCTCCAACCCCTCCTCCATCTTGTCCCCCCACGGGACTCCGAGGAAGCCCCCTGCTTCAGCGCTCACCCCTTCCTCCTGCCAGGTTCTTCGTGAACTTCCCATCAGCCAAGCAGTACTTCAGCCAGTTCAGACACATGGAGGACCCCTTGGAGATGGAGAGGAGCCCCCAGCTGCGGAAGCATGCCTGCAGAGTCATGGGGGCCCTCAACACTGTCGTGGAGAATCTGCACGACCCAGACAAGGTGTCCTCCGTGCTTGCCCTGGTCGGCAAAGCACATGCCCTCAAGCACAAGGTGGAACCTGTGTACTTCAAGGTGCGTCCTTCCTTCCGTTTGCCCTGGTCCAGAGCCCCCAGCTCACTGGGCCACAGCTCCCTGTGGCTCTGGGAGGGCTCCCTGAGTAGCAGAGATGGCCACTGTGCTGCCAGCCTGTTCCCTAGGAGAGGCTGTGCCAGGAGGGACTGCACCGCAGTAGGAGAGAAAGGTGGTCCCAGTGCAGACCCTGTCCTGAGAGCATGATCTCCAGCAGCCACCACACAGGCCAATGCGGGCTGTCAGGGATCCTGGGGACTGTGGGAGGCAGGGTGCCCAGGCGTTTACCCCCTTCCCTCCTTTGCCCCCAGATTCTCTCTGGGGTCATTCTGGAGGTGATCGCCGAGGAGTTTGCCAATGACTTCCCTCCTGAGACGCAGAAAGCCTGGGCCAAGCTGCGTGGTCTCATCTACAGCCATGTGACCGCTGCCTACAAGGAAGTGGGCTGGGTACAGCAGGTCCCCAACACCGCCACGTGAGGAGGGGGTGCGGGTGGGCTGGGCAGCCTCTCCGCTGCGCCCTCTCCTGTCCCCTAGGCTTCCCATCTCTCCCAGGGACCAGGGACTGGCTGCTGGGCAGGAACCGTTCAGGCAAGCAGACACAGGAGTCTGATACACTTAAAGGCAGGCACAACACAAAGGGCCCTGTGACTTCAGGCCGCTTCTGTCCAGCCCCTGCTCTCGGCTGCACAGAACTGAGAGCTCCAAGCAGATCTGTCTGGGCAGTGCCTCTCCGTGCCTGGAGCAGGGATGGCTCAGGTCACCCAAGGCTATGACTGTCTCCCAGTGGGGCGTTGGCTCCTCAGACTCAGAGCAAGCAGTGTGGGCCAACCCCTCCCCAGTACCAATACTGTTCCTCACACTGACCAGGGAGAGCTTCCACACACTGTCTGGAGCCACGATAGTCACCAGGCCCACCGGGACCTACATGGGTGTCACTCACGGGGACAAAACTAGGGGAGGTTTACTTCCAGTCTGACCAGAGGACAGCACCCACTTCTAGGCTCCAACAGGGTGGCTGGACTGACTCAGTGACTCCTGCGGGCGGGCTGGGAGCAGGGCTGGCGATGTGGCTGTGGCGGCTGGGAACACTCAGAACCCCCCTAGACCCCCGGGAGACAGCTGACTCTGGGAGCTGAATGAAAGGGCGGAGGCGGGAACAGGGAACACGAACCAGGGGTCAGCCAGCGGCTTGGGACACGTGTTGTAGAGAAACATTCCCAGCAGTTTCCCATGGAAAAGGCACCATCTCCTCAGGCTCCTCCACGCCCCCCTCCCCGCCCGGTGCCACCTCCGGTTAAGGGGCCTCCCCACCCAGCTCTATAGAGGAGGTCCCTAAGGGCAGGACTACTACCCTCCCTGCCACTGACCAACCAGTCAAGTTGTGCGCCCTCCCCCCACCCCCCACCATCAGCAGCTCCCCAGGAGAGCAGAACAGAGTTCTCAGGAATTGCTGCTTGCAGCCAGGTCAACTCCAGATGTGCACAGCTGGGCCCGGCCTGGCCCAAACCCTGGAGTGAAGGACAGGCAAGAAGAGTTTTACCTGGCGGAGGAGGGCGTTGGCCAGGCTAAAAAAAACTGGCGTTCCCTCCAGCTGCCACTGAGAGGGGTCAGGGAGGAGACCGGGGAGGGGAGACAGAGGAGGGCTCCCCCCACCCCGCTTCTCCCCAGGCAGACTCTGCCGCCCAAGATGAGTTTGTTTACAGCCATGACACAAGACTTCCTGCTTTTGGAGAAAAGAACATTTTACAGGGCCTAGAGGGACTGTGGGGATGAGGGGAACTGGCCAGCGAGCCCCTGTGAATCAGAAACACATGGCTGGAGCCCTCCCCACTCCTGCCCCAGCTGGACCCCAGGGACTTAGTGCTGGCCAAACCCCAAACACCATTTGCCCCTCCTTTGGTCCTAGCAGGCTGGATGGGAGCTGATGATGCCGGGGCCAGACAAGCCAGAGCCACCTCACCTGGGCCCGGGCACCCATTCTGGGCTTCCCCAGCTGTCTCCTGGCATTGCCACCTCATCTCTTGACAGCCTCTATCCCCATCTCTGGTCTCCTGGGGTCTTGGGGTCCTGCAGGACCCAACCTATTGCCAGGACCCCTCTTGCCTCACAGGGTAGGGTGGAGTTTTGGGGCTGACTTCTAGAAGGGCCCTGTCCAACTTCTCTTATCAGGGAAACGCACTGAGCCAGACACCACTGTTTATTGAACTGTCTCTGCTTCAGGGTGTGTGACTCTGTGTGGGTGGAGGGGCGCTGGGGCAGGGGGATGTGACGGCCAGCGAGCTAAAAGGAGTTTCGTGGATGGAAGCCAGGGAGCCCTCTGCTAGGATGAGCAGCACATCTGATTTCCAAACAAATAGAAGCAAGTTCATGTCTGTAAGTCCGTCCATCGCCATGTGGTGTTTGTAAAATGCTTCAGTCAGTTCTCAGCAGACTGGACGCTGGCCACACCCCCTCCTACAAAGGGCAGGCCCAGGCAGCTCCTCTCCTGGGCTACTAGACTAGCTTGAGGTAGCACAGTAGGTTGGAGGTAATGGGGAATTGGGTCTCTCTCTGTGGGAAGTGTCCCATCTCATGATCCCCCAGTCCCGCGGTGTCCCATCCGGCCCCACTGACCCCTGTAACCTGTCACCTTCGTCTCCTGTCTCATCCACAGCCCACCGGCCACACTGCCGTCTTCGGGGCCATAGGACCGCTCCCGGCTCCCCCGTCCCTGGCAGCACTTTGGGCAGAAGGCTGAATTCTGAAGACACTCCTTGACCTTCCATTTCTGAGTGCCAAGAAAGCTGGAGGAACTCTGACTGGACTTCCCGAAAGGAGGCCTTCCTCATGGCCCTGGCCCCCCAGGCTGCTGGGAGGGAGCTGAGCCTAAGCAGTGGAGGGGCTCTTCTGCCTCGCAGCAGGGGGTGTCCTTGTCTTAGCTTTTCTACTTACCGTTAGAGAGGGACCTAGCAAGTGGCCGGTGGGAATCGAGGCCAAGCCTGCGAGTCACTTGGGAAAAGAACTAGCTTCATTCTGCCCACCAGCATGCGGGTTCACGCCACCATCTCTAGAGTATCACGCACACATGTCTACCATATATACAAATATATTCTATATACGATCTCTATATAAATATATATACGTACATATCTATCGTGTGTACCTGCAGGCGCAGAAGCCTCAGTCTTGCCCAGCTGTGGGAGGCCCGGAGGAGTCCTGGGCAGCTCTTGGGGAGCCAGGAGAAATCCTACAACAGCATAAGAGGATGGGGCCGGGTGGAAGAGTTGGGGTGACTCAGCTTGTCCCCATAGCTCAGTGCTCTGCATTCCTGCCCCTCAACAACAACAACAACAAAACAGAAAAAAGAAAAACAGAAAGAAAAAAAGAAAGAAAGAAAGAAAGAAAAGAAGAAAGGAAGAAAGGAAGGGGAAAAAATCTGGTTTGCCAGGTATAGTGGCATACCCCCGTGGTCCCTCGGTTCGGAGGCCGAGGACAGAGAATCACTGCAAGTTTGAAGTCAGGTGATCTCTCCCTGGTCTCCATGCTGGGGAATTTCAGGCTAGCCTGAGCTACACAGGGAGACCCTGTCTCAAACAAAACGCAATGAGCTCTGGCTTCCTTCCCCTTCCCAGGGGTCTGGCTGACCGACTTGCCCTAGAAAGGGTGAGGATGAGGCACACCAAGAGCTCAGACGATCCCAATGGGTGGCAGCCAGCGTGCGTGTGTGTGTGTGTGTGTGTGTGTGTGTGTGTGTGTGTGTATGTGTGTGTGTGTGTGGAGGGCTGAGGGACAGCCTGAGTAAAGGGCCTGAGAACGTCCGCGTCACTGGCTCATTTCAGACAGCAGTCAGGCCACAGGAGCAGGGATGCTATCCTCTGTGGAGACCCAGGGCCTCCCCCTCTTCCAGGCCACCAGGGCACCCTCCCCGTCCAGTCTCCTTAACGTTGCTGGGGACCCTGTGCGTGTCCCCCTGGTCACGTGTACTGTCCTGGAGGATGTCTTGCTGCTGTGGTGACTGTGCCTGCATCCCCTCCCGTTCTCGCACAGCCTTCCTGTAACTGCCTGTCTTTTTTTGTAGTTTCTGATGTTTGTAACCAGACACAGCTGTGTCATTAAACAGGTCCGTCCTTCCTGGGTCTGGTCTGTTCTTTTCCGCCCCGGGAGCCCTGCCTTCACCTCTCTTCTCCCACCAGAGATTCTAGATAAGGGCATTTTCATCTGAAACAACCCCCCCCCCCCCGGGCTGGCCCTAGCTGACCCTGGGCCACTCTGGGTGTTGAGACTGAAGATCGCCTGGTGGCTAAGAAGGGAGCCAGGACGTGGAGCAGGGGATGGGTCCGTCTTATTAACAATTCAGAGAAGCCAGACCTATTTGGTGGTTTACAGCTGTCTCATCAAGGCTACTCAGGAGGTTGAGGCATGGGGGGGGGTAGGGCTGGGAGTCGCAAGTTTAAAGCCAACCTAGGTAACTTAGTAAGACCTTATCTCAAAATAAAAAACAAAGAAGGCTGAGGATGCCGGGCACTGGTGGCCTGGTGCACACCTTTAATCCCAGCACTCAGGAAGCACAGGCAGGCGGATCTTTGTGAGTTTGAGGCCAGTCTGGTCTACAGAGAGAGTTCCAGGACAGGCTCCAAAGCGATACAGAGAAGCCCTGTCTTGGAGAAGGAGGAGGAGGCAGCTGGAGGCACCGCTCAGTGAAAAAGCTCTGGCCTGGCTTTCCTTCACCAGGCTCTAGGCTTAATCTCCAGCACCTCCACTAGGGGATAAAAAAGTCAGTGTCTCTTGGGCTTTGTCCTGGAAATTTAGCAAGGACAGGGTCAACGTGGAATGAAGGGCAATGCCAAAGCTGACTTGGTAACACACTCGGTCACCCCAGCACTAAACAGGCTGAGATTGGAGGAGGACAACCTGGGCAACACCATGAGTCCCACCTCAGAAAAGAGAGGGAGGGGAGAGGATGCGGGGAGGAGGGGGCCTCGTGTCCAGATCCCTTCTGTGCACTAGTCACATAGCCAAAGCCTTGACCTTCTTCTAGGCCTGCACACTGGACATCCCTCGCTGGATGCTGAATGCAGGTCCTGATGCTGCAAGCGGTCAGCCCTTGGGCCCTGCAGAAAGGGAGCCTGCTGGAATCAGCTTTCAACCTTGAGCTCTCAGCCTAGACTCTCTTCCCAAGCTCCACTGGGCCAAGCCTGTCCATCCCCCATGGCCATGGTCACAACAGCAGCTTCAAGTCCCTGAGGAGGGATCAAGGAGGTCATCACGGGGGGGGGGGGGGATACAGGGAAACAGGAAACAGCCTCTGCCCCTGGGGAAGGCTTCAGGCTGTCTGGAAGGACTCAGCCGACACAGGCAAAAGTCTTGTCTCCCAGCCCGCGCGCTTGAATGTGAGCCGTGCCTTCCTTTATCTCCTGGGCCTGGCACAGCAGAATCCAAGCTGGAAAGCCAAAGAATAAATAAATAGCAGCCTTAGAAAGCAGGACAAGCTCACGGGCCAAGAGTAAGCTGTGAAATGAAGGAGGGTGCTGGGTGCTGGGAGGGCGGCACAGGCCAGACCTTTCCAGGGATGGAGTGCGCCAGACTGGTGGCCTCCCAGCCTGCTGTGTGACTCTGGGCCAGACACTGAGAACCTGAATTTTAAAGCAGGAAGCCTGGTGTGGTGGTGCTCCCAGATCCTGGGAGGTTAAGGGAGGAGGATGGAGAGTTCGAGACCAGGCTGGACTACACAGCAAGACACCGTCTCAAAGAGAAAAATATCAGCTTCATTAAGCAAAAGTCTCGTCTTGCAAGGCAGGGCTGGCTGGACACAGAGGGCTGGGAGAAGATGCTAAGGATGAGATGCTAAGCAGAATCCTGTGCGAGAAGTTGGGATGAGAGGGACAGGGGTGATCCCTGGCGGTCTGGGCCCAGCCAGAGCTGGCTGGTGGGCTATCAGAGGGTCCTGATGGGGCATCTGAGGCCATGAGGGGGATCGTTCCTGAGAAGACCTCCCCACAGTCGTTTTGAGAATGGCGTAGGTGGAAGACTCTCCCCACTTCCTACCTTCAATAGAGGACGTGGGCCATCACCTCCACCCGCTAGGGATGAGGGTGGAAGGGGGCAGGATTCTGGTGGCTGGGTTTTAAGCCAGAGGCAGGGGCAATGTCTGGGCTTTGAATGTCTGGGGCACAGAACAAACACGCAGTCCGCCTTCTTATTGAAAAGCCGAGCAACTGGGTCAGCTCCCCTGGTGAGCTCAAGCTGAGAGCCATCGGGGTGTGGGCAACCAAAGGGGGGTGCGTTGCGAGGAGACGGCAGCCTCTTCTGCCGAAGAGGCCAGCAGTACAGCCTCACAGTGACCCCTGCTGGATGCAGCTGGAACTTCACCCAAAGAAGCAACCATCTATAGCTCGCCAGCTTCCGGGCAGATGGAGGTGGGGGGGGGGGTAGTACGGGTTCGGAGTGGGGAGAGCAGCGGATTGGTTCTGAAAGGGATGCAGCCTTACTGAAACCGGAGACAAAAACAAAAGTGGACATGCCTAAACAACACGAAGTATCTTCCCGCGGTTACCAAGTGGAAAAAGTTGATTGATAAAGGAAGGTGTTGGCACCAGATAACACAAATCTACAATCCCAGCATTTGGCAAACTGAGGCAGGAGGGTGCTGAGTTTAAAACCAACCTTGGCAAATGCATAGTGAGTTCCAGGCCAGCCAGGGTTATGTAGGACGACATTCTCTAAACAGACAAGACAGACAAACGGGAGACGTCTTCCTCACTTGGGTGCTTGCCTGGCAAGCACAAGAATCTCAATCCAATACCAAGGACCCAGGAAAAAAGCTAGGTCCGTGGGGCTTGCCAGCTAGCCTCCCCTAAAGGTGAACCCCGGGTCCCAGGGAAGAGCCTGACTCAAAACAGAGTGGAGAGATAACACCGGAGGTTGACACCTGACCTCCAGATGCATACAGAGAAAGAGCAAGAGAGGCAACCGCTTTAAATGCAAAAAGGCATGAGCCGCCACGGCCCTACTGGCATTTTCTTGATTAATGATAGATGTGGAAGGGGTCAATCCTCTGTGAGCTGCGCCACCCCTGGGCACTGAAAGAAAGCAGTCTGAGCACGCCATGGAGAGCCAGCCAGTGAGCAGCTCCCTCCAAGGCCTCTGCACCAGCTCCTGCCTCCAGGCTCCTCTCCAGTCCCTGCCCTGACTTCCTTGCATTGTTTTAGTTTTTAATCCTGGCTGGCCTGGAACTCCATCTGGTAGACCAGCTGGCCTCAAATTCACAGAGATGCTCCTGCCCCTGCCTCCCAAGTGCTGGGGTCAAAAGCTCTGCTGCCGCCCGCCGCTGCCACCGCCTGGCCTGACTTCCCTTTATGACTGATTAAAAGAAACTCTTTGCTCCCCAGGCTGCTTTCAGTTTACCACGGCTGGCAGGAGAAAGTAAACTACAACAGGGTTCCTCCCCTCGGGGGATGGCTGACAGAACACCAGTTTGTTCTCCATCACTTTCCCTGGATCTGCTCTGCCTCAGGTCTGCCCCAGAGAAAGACAGGCCCAGGGTAGGGAGAGCGAGGGTTCTCCTGCTGTGGTGGTTTAAGAAGACAGCAACGGCACGCTTCAGGCCGACCCCCACCTGGCTTCAGCTTCACACGGTTCTTGGAGCAGGCTGTGAGGGAGTCCTGCGCCTGTTCTACCAACAGCTTTGAGCAAGGCCAGAAGTGAAGCCTGTGGCAAGCAGGTGCTGAGCAGTCAACACTGCAGCCACCAACCTCAGACCTTGCCAAGAATGGAGGGTAGTGTCCAGCCACCTGGGCCACGTGCTGGCCTCTCTGTCAGGGCCTCCACATAGTTCTCTAGCAAAGCCTCAGAGGGAGGTCAGTCCTCCATACCCCAGCCTCGGCGAATCTACTCTGCCCCATGTCTAGATACCAACAAATGCATTTCAGAAAGAGGGGAGGGGGAGGAAGGAAGGGAGGGAGGGAGGGAGGGAGGGAGGGAGGGAGGAAGGGAGAGAGGGGGGAGAAAGGGAGGAGGAAGGAAGGGAGGGAGGGAGGGAGGGAGGGAGGAAGGGAGGGAGGAAGGGAGGGAGGAAGGGAGGAAGGGAGGGAGGGAGGGAGGGAGGGAGGAAGGGAGGGAGGAAGGAAGGGAGGGAGGAAGGGAGGAAGGGAG